AATGTGTTATGCACGAAATTTTCATTATATATATTTATTTAAAGATGTGGAAGAGGAAATTATTAGTTTAGTTATACTGTACGCTTTAATGCGAGGGAAAGAGAAAAGAGATTTAGGCAGTCTGATTTTTTATTGATTGTCAGGCCAATGTCGCGACAAGAATGACTTTGCTACTTTTATCAGCACAAAATTTAAATATGTTTATTGTGCTTCTGTATTTTAGTTGTAATTTTTATTGACGAGGCTTTTCCGAATCTTGTCCCTTGCTTAATATGTTTTCTTTTATAACGCCAAAGTATTAGTACAATAAATGTATATTCATAATGAAAATATTAAATTTTGATATCAGATAAATAATCTTATTTTATGTCTGAGCAAAAATAAAATATCTTATTTAATAAGTATTATCTATACCTTTTAAATTTTGCTATAAAAAAAATAATAAAATTTGTAGGTAAAATTATTTTGAATAGAAAAAATCTAACAAAAAAAGATTTTATTTTGATGGAGTAAAAGATTAATATGCTTTTATTAGCGGTAAAATTTAAATAAATACAATTGGATCCTATACGAATTATACTACTGTTGCAATAAGTATAATCTAAATTTATTATCTTATAATTTAGTCTTATTAATGTTTATTATGTTAACTAATTATAATATTTATAATATTCGAATCTTAAACGAATAGTTAGTATCTCAAACTAATTTAAAAACCTTAATTTTTTAATCACTGTATTATGTAATCCAATAAATATATATAATATTTGAAATTTATATGTCAATTTATATATTTTTTCTTAATCTAATACATTATTATAAATTAAATAGAAACTCGAAAGTATTATAAAAAGTAATACTAGTAAAAAATGAAATATAGAAATAGTAAATGATTGTGAAATAAATACATATAATAAATACCTTGTATCATTGTCAATCCTTATGAAACGTAGTGACATTTAGTTACTAAATTTATTTAATGTATAAATGTAATATTGTATAAATGAAATATAAGCCTAACCCGTTACCTTCAAATTATTTGAAAAGTTCTTAGAAGAAATGATTTATCAACTGATATTGTCTTCATTTGGTCTTAAAAAAAATACTAAAATTATAATTTCGTATCAGTGACCTTTGCTCAGTGTCACTGCGACATAGGGTATATAATTAATTGGTATTCAACACTAACAATTTATAATTAATTACAAATACATTAATTATAAATATATTCAAAAGGGTTAGGAATTAAATAATTATATCATATTATTATATGCCGTATAATTATTAACGTAAGATATATAAGTTATTCATTGTTGACTGATTATTTTAGCACTTTAATATACAATATACAAAGTAGTTAGTACAGAAATAAGCAAAAGAATTTTATAAAAAATAACATTAAAATCCACATAAAAAATGTAAATGAAATTATAATTGGAATTATTTCTATAAAATACTATTAAATATGAGCCTAACTTGGCACTTCATTGTTTTCTTTTCTTTGTTTATCATAAATGTGGGAAATATGCCACATTAATATTTCTCTACTCATCTTTACAACAATCCAAAAAATTAAATTTTATATTCTAATTTGCGCTGTAGATGAGAAATAACTTTAAAGATTGCCAGTTAAAAAATATACAATTACAAAACATATAATGTATGACATAATTTAAATTTTCGATGACTTGACAAAAATGTTAGAATTTTAATTTAGTCTATTGACAAATTACATTTGTAATTGCTAGCAGATAGTTTAAAAGTAGTTGTTATCCTTTGAATTTAAAATATTGATCTATAAAGAATGAAGCAAGTATATTGTAAAAGTACAAAGACTGATAAGATAATCTTATTCAAAGTAATATGCTACTTTATGGAATTTATATATTCATAATCATTTTTATCGCACAATGCCTAAATAAAAAAAATATATTAATGGTCTGTAGATAATTTATTTCCTTATCTTTATATAAAATCCTATTTTCAGTTATGTTTTCTATTATTATGAATGTATTGTAAAATTCTTTTGAAATACAATCTTTCTTCAAACTGTATTCATAAATAAATCGGAATTTTTTTTTTTCATTTTCATTTTGACCATAAAAATGTTTGGATATACGAACTGAATAATTGAAATGAATAATTTCTTTATAAATCTTCTTAAAAAAAAAAATACCATTAAAAGAGAAATAATGAAGCCATGCGTTATTTATCATTTTTTTATATGTTTGTAAATAGATTAATCGAAATGTATCAATAAATAATTGTAAGTAGTCATTCTCATGAGGTAATAACAATATATAAATATATTAAATGCATTTTAATATTGCACTACATTTTTAATTCAATTTGTTTTGATTTGTATAAATCTGATGATTAAGGAAATAAGTACGTTTCCTCTTATTTTAATGATAATACAAGCGCATTGAACTAATCACATATGCATAATTTAAAGTTCAAACGCAAAAACAATTGCGACAGCTAATCGCAAATTAATCATCAAACAAAACTCTATGCACTATTTAAATATTATCACAACAATATAAATATATGTTATCTCACCTAAATAAAGAATATAAACAATATTTCATACCATATTCTTATAAATTCACCTCGTCACAACCTATATAAAAATATACAAGACTTATGCTTCAGTTAAATTATCTGTTAATCTAGAATTTAATGACAATTAATTTTATTTTATAAATTGATAGAATATAATTAGTGAATGAGAATTATTAAATTAATAAAACAATGAACAATATTTAATAATATTTAAATATTAACGAATATTAACGAACTAATTTGTAAAAAATTAATAATTTTAATAATTAGTAGTCAGACACGTTCGTTTTATATTACATTTATTAAATTGATTAAAGGCTTTGGTAACATATACAAAATTGTGCAATTATAATTATAGATATTAATGAATTCATTACTAACCAATAATAAATTTTATAAATCAAAGTTGGTGTTTGCCAGTCAATGATTATTCATAATATTGAAAGACAAACATTCATCTATGAAATGTAAAAAATTTTTAGCATGAAAAATTAGTAATAGAGATTGGGATATAACTAAAAATTATAGAGTACTTTATATTTTACTAATAATCAGGTACATAAAATATGTCACAAGAATTTGTTTGTAAAGAGATAGAAGAATATTGTTGTCGCAATATAATAACAATTTTATTATAGTTTTATATTCTTCAAAATGTGAACTAAATAAACCAATAAGTAAATATTTATATTATGATATATAATAATGAAACACGTAACGAATTTTTGGGGTTGATTTGGTAAATTATTAAAAACTTGGATGTTTTTAAATTATTGAAAACTTGGATGTTTATTGTCAGTAAAATAACAGCTACATTTATTTTTCTTTTCAATGTTGACAATATATTATTTCATTGGGAAACAGCGACCTTCATTATTACCGTTTGCGTACTCTTATCAAAAGTATTTCAAATCACATTACATTTTAAAGTTCAACAAAATCACAAAATGTACTAGCACTTGTATTACAATACCACATTACAGTATATAGAGCGATCTATTATTACTGCACAGCGCCAATCACTTTCTCTGTCCATTTATTTGACCAAAATACCTTAATCTAAACTACACGTTCATTTAGTATAATGGAAAATCTACGACACATTAAAATATTATGTTTCTTAATATATTTGTTAGGTTATCATTATGATTATTACTGCTGTTGTTATCATCACCGCTGTAATAGTCATTTATTTTATAAGTAAGCCGTCATAGATGAATTTTTCTCGAGCAGCTAACTTTTATGCCTTGTTGAGCTTGATTTTTAGAAAGTGTGCACGAGAGATGGAATTTTTTTTAGAAGGCATAAAAATTCAATTCCTCATAAAGCTTAACAAAATTCATCGTATACTTCCCGGAGAAACAGAAAGAAAATCCGCCTTAGTAGGATAAAGACGATCAACTGTCCTTTTCCCGAAGATGCTTAGATGCTGGAAGCGTGTCCGGAATCTCCGCAGATTGCAAAAGTGAGTGTCACTAGCTGATGGCGCATCAACATTGGGCCTCATTATAATCGGAGCCCGGCTACGAACGACGAGCCTACCGACAAGCGCCAATCGGCGTCGGTCACGCCCCCACCCACCCGACCTCGCGATACCAAAAGAAAAAAGGAAAATCGCGGCACATAAACGTTCACTTTAGTGCTTTATTTCCAGTCCGCGCGTTTTGCAGGCGTACATTGGAATTCTTAGCCTGTGCGTAAGCTCGCAAGTCGCCCGACAATTCGTCGCGTGCAGACGCACTCTTATTATCAATATTAGGAAGGCGCAGGCATTATTACACTTGTTTTATTGTTATATTAATTCGATTTCGAAGTACGTATTCAACAATCTAGGAAGTAAGGACAGTAAGCTGCGGTATCGTACTTTTTATTTATTTATGTAATTTATAACTAATAAACGCCAATACTTATATACAGGCAATGTTTCCATGAGCTTTGCCGACGTGATAAAATATATTTGTTAAATGAAGCGTGAAAAATTCCTATGTATAAACTTTTATTAATAAATTAATATCTATAATAGTAATTTAATTGATAAAGATCTTTTAATTATTAAGTACAAATACTCTTTTATGTCGCAAACATATATAACATAAGTATAACAGTTATAATCTTAAAAGCTTTTCAGAAACGAACATATTTCAATTTTAATCAACATAAAGGAATATAAATTATACTTAATTTTTTTAATTTAAACAAAAACACGTATCACCGAAGTTTGTGTTAATACCGATCCACGGGATACTTGACAAGAAGAAATAAATTTATATCAATATATTAATTAAATAAAAGTAATTTGCATATGTATTCGGATAGTGTAAAGACGTTATTTTTAACATAAATTTAATAATGGACATTGCAAAATATGTAAACTTTAACCGTGACATTTTAATGGCATGTGTATTATTATTTCATATTTTTTTTTTTTTTTTCAGATATGATGTCTGCAATCCCGAGCAAACCTGGACCATTTATTGGAGTGATTGACGTAGGCACGCGAACCGTTCGATTTGTCGTAAGTAATTACGAGATAAGACAGCGGTTTAATATAATAATCATTAGCCTTTAAAAAAACATCTCAGATCTGTTATTCATATAGATAAGTCGCAAAATTTTTTTACAATTGAATAATATCATGAACCTGTGGCTTAATTAAGTTTATCTAACATATTTATCAAATTTCTTCACTAAGCAAATTTCGTTAAAAGTAATATAATGTGATTATGCGTGAATATATTTAATTTAATAAATATAAGAACTTCATTACGTAGCTTTGCTTTATTCATAAAATTTACTTTATTCATAAACAAATAAAAATGTTATTGTTTTCCATAAACACTTACGTCATAAATATTTTAATGAATCAAATAAAGATATAAAAAAAAATTGTAAAAACACTACGGCTAAATACACTTTCGATTAAAATATTTAATATTGTGAAAAGCAATTATAAATATTAATTTTATTTTTTATAATTCAGTTAAAATAACATCATAAATAAAACTAACAATTACCCATTTTAAATAATGATCCGAAAGAAAAAAATGGAAAAACTATTTGAATGTATTTATCTCGAAATAGTACATGTAATGTATTTCATACGTCAAGCCTTAAAAAGAATTAGTAGCTAAACCATATTATTGAAATAAATATTTCTATAGTAATTGATGCTTCTTCGTTAATAATAAAACATTTTCAGATTATAGTTCATGTAATATTCAATAGTCAATATATAGGATTTATTTAAGTAAAGTTGAATGAAAATTAATGCTTCTTCCCCAGAGTTTCATTATGTATGTAAATTTGGATTCAAAAGGAAAATTAAATAAATAATATAAGATGAGTATCAATTGATGTTTATCATAAATATAATAACAAATATTTTCTGAAAAGAGAAGAAAATAAAAAAAAACAAATTTTTATAAAAATGCAAACGTATATATATGCATATATATATATATATATATATATATATATATATATATATGTATATATCGAGGAAACTTAAACCAAACGCAGCCACTGTAAAATTTCCTGTTTCAATTTAGTTACTTAAATTATAAATAAGCGTTACATATTTCAAGTAATTTCTTATCTCGATGATTTGATATTGCAGACTAGGCTTCTAGATCTATTTACTTTCCAACATTGACGGGAAATAAATTTGTACATAAAATTCAAACAAAATTATACATAAAAGATTTTATTTACAAAATTTAAAGATGCATGATTCTATCGTTTTCATCGTGTTTTGCCTTGGAATATTCATTATTTTATAAATGTTGTTTGCTTTAAAATTCTTTTACATATAACTTTTCCACACTTAAATATTTATTTTTACTTAAATATAAATATTTAAGTACATAGAAAAATGAATAATTATTCACATTTTTTAATTAATACTAAAAAATATTATTTTTAACATATCATTGAAAATTAGTATAAAATCGTGTTTATAGTATAAAAATTATAGAGTATTTGAGAAAATCCATTGCCTGACTAACTAAACTCAACATGTCACTCATCAACTTAAATATTTTTCTGAGAAATACCGAGCATCATGTATCATCTATTGGGATAAATATATATAAAATAGAAGTTGATTTTAATTCTATATTTTCTCTAAATTTTGTTTATTTTCTATACAACTACAATATACTCTGTCATATGCATATTTATGGGTTCAGTTCTTATTAAACTCATCATGGATATCAATAAAATCTTAGTTGTCACTTTCTTACGTAGATCTTCGGTGCGAAACATGTGTCGGAAGTCGAATCGCACCAGATCGATATCGAACAGCTCACACCACAAGAAGGTTGGGTTGAGCAAGACCCGAATGAAATTAAAACCGCGATAAAATCATGTATAGCTCATGTGCTCGAAAGAATGGAAAGGAATGGTTTAGATATGAGAAATATTGTCACCATTGGCATTTGTAACTCCAGAGAGACAACTCTTGTCTGGGATTCTAAGACTGGAGAGCCACTTTTCAATGCTATACGTAAGTCATTTAAGTCTTGCATGATAATATTACATAAGCCTTCTTTAAAATTTCAGTATAAATCATTTACAATAATTTCAGCTTCTCAAATGAAATTAGAATTTCATTTATAAAAGGTTTATATAGTTATATATAATATTTTATTACTTTATCATTTAAATATATTACGCATGTCATCGTGGAAAATCTTATCGTTAATTTTACTTATATTATTTGGTAGTGCAAAAATGATTTTATAATGAGGTATCTGCAAAATACTTTGAAGTAGAAAGATTGTATCTACAATTATATTGGCTTCAATCGATTTTAAAAATAAAGCTAAATAATAAAAATAAAATGTTTAATATAATATTATTCAAATTTGGTTTTCATTATTAACGATTAGCTTATTTTAATTTTTCTTTACACGAATGAAGAAAATGTTAAATATTGAAAAGATTTTTAAATAACATATTTATTCATGTATAATTGACTCGATTAAACAACTTATCGAATACACATTTTACATATTTGAACTTTTTTTAGAATTATAAAATTATCATAATTTATAAAATTTAAAAAATCTTTTAAGAATTAAAAATTTGCTAGGCAACTAAAGATTATTTGATCCATCATTATGAGCGAATGTGGATGAACGAAGCAAAAGGCAAACTTGATAAAATAACAGTTAATAATGTATCCATAATCGATAAAAATGTTCTTTAAAGATGCATTCTTATTAAAAATCGAATGTTTCAACAACAAGTAAAAAGCAAGCGTTGGTCTAATGAAGAACGCACGATTCGCTATTACTAAGTGGCGGCGGACTAATTACATAGGAAATAATTTGTTTATCATTTAAAGTATGGTCGGACATCAGGACGGACAAAATGGTCGATGAGATAATAGCCAAATTCCCGGACAATAATAAGAATCATCTAAGGCCAATTTGCGGTCTGCCTGTGAGTTCGTACTTCTCGGCGTTGAAAATAAGATGGCTAATAGAGAATGTGCCGAATGTCAAGAAAGCTATGCGCGAGGGTCATTGTATGTTTGGAACCTTGGACACGTGGCTCGTCTGGGTAAGAATGTTCACGAAGGTTGCATTAAGTCGCGACAATGTAAAGCTTATTATTAAACTTCGGTTGCTGGTTAATTTAACGGCCGAGCATCTTTTTCTCCATTGCATTATTTTATTTAATTGGATAATTACAGCGACTCTTACCTCTATATATTTTTATCAGTAAATATATCGTTAGTTTGTCAGAATTTCATATTTTTGCAGATATTATATTGAAAATATTGTATTCAATGCTTAAATGTAAATTAATGTATATTAATAATTAATTTATTGATTCAGATACATACATAACTTTTCATTTTATTTTCCAGTGAAAGATTAATTAAAATCAATTTGAAAAATAGCTTACTGGATGATTTTTAGTTAGCAACTTTTTGTCCATCGGTCAATTTAGTTATTTTGTAAATATTAAACGATTGTCGATAAATCAAAAACACAAAAAAAACATGTGTAATAAATAGCCTTATAATATCAATGTGATTTATCACCACAGCAATCATTATTCATTGTATTATTAAATTAATTTAATTTTTATATTATTAATATAATTATAATATCACTATTAAATATTTAAATTATTATTCGAATTAATTGCACTCCAAAGAAATGATTTAATTTTAAATAATGTAGATATAAATTTTATGGTAAGTCAAGTAAATGAGAAAATGTTATTGTCTTTATATTTTTAATTTATTTAAAGTCTTTGTAATTTTCTTGAGTATAAAACATCGATTGTTTTTAATAATGTATTAAATATCACAGACTTTTTTTTTTTTTTTTTTTTTTTTTTTTTTTTTTTTTTATAGAATTTAACAGGAGGAAAGGATGGTGGACTGTATATAACCGATGTAACAAACGCTTCGAGAACTATGCTCATGAATATTGAAACTATGACTTGGGATATAACTCTTTGTCGATACTTCAACATTCCCATGCATATTCTTCCAAAAATACGAAGTAGCTCAGAAATTTATGGGAACATCAAAGTCGAACCGTTAAAGGGCATTCCAATATCAGGAGTAAGTTCTTAAAATATAATTTTAAATGTAGATTTATGAATAATTATTTAAAACAAGCATCGCTGCTTGTTGTTCAATGAACGAAATATAAGTACTAAAATGTAATTGTGTATCTGTGGCAGATATTAGGGAATCAACAAGCAGCACTTGTAGGTCAAAATTGCTTAAAACAAGGACAAGCAAAAAATACATACAGAAGTGGATGTTTCTTGCTTTGTAATACTGGCCAAACAGTAAGTTAATCGACTGATTTTACAAGAAATAATTGTAATTTTTTTTCAATTTGATTTATATGAAAGAAAAACAATATTTAAAATTTTTACTAAATATTAGTTTAAATCCGAAAAATGCCTTCATTCGTTTTTACTACTTTTTTAATCATTATTTTTAAGATTGTTAATAATGGTATAATATGATCATATAATATAATTAGCCGATACAACAGAAAACTCAATTAATTCTATACGTACATATCAATAAATAGAGTTATTAATTTTTACTAATTTTTGAGACTAAATAGTTTCAAAATTGCGAAAGCACGATAAAAGACAATTTCACTATGGTAAATAATTGTGCTATGAATTTATTAAATTAATTTTTTTTTTCTCGTAGTTTTATAGATTATTTCAATTATGACGGTTTCGTAAATGCACATTTGAAACATCAAATACCAATCCTCTATTCTGCATTTAATTTATTGTCTATAAACTTACTATACTTTATTGACTATATTATATCAAGTCTTGTAATCATATTAAAAAAAAAAAATTGAAAATTCCCACCTCGGTACTCTAAAATGTAAATTCCAAAAATTTTTATTTTTACTAATATTTGCAGAGAGTTTTCTCATCGCACGGCTTGGTAACTACGGTAGCGTATCAGCTGGGCCCAAAAAGTCCGGCTGTATACGCACTCGAGGGTTCGATAGCTGTAGCAGGCCTCGCGATCAAGTGGCTCCGCGACAATATGCGAATGATGAAAGATGTACAAGAGAGCGAACACCTGGCTGATAAAGTCTTAAACACGGGCGACGTTTACTTTGTACCTGCCTTCTCGGGACTTTACGCGCCCTATTGGAGAAAGGATGCCAGAGGGTGCGTTTCTCAAATAATATTGCAAACACGCGCGATGTGTTTCTTCCGTTAAAAGACTTATAAATTAATTTAAATTTTCATTCGAATATCAATTAATAAATAATATTCGTTTCGTACGTAGAATTATTTGTGGATTAACCACATTTTCTACAAAAGATCACATTATAAGAGCCTCGCTAGAAGCTGTTTGTTTCCAAACGAGAGATATTATAGAAGCCATGTTCAAAGATTGCGGTTTTCCATTAACAAAATTATACACGGATGGAAAAATGACTATTAACAGTTTGCTTATGCAGTTGCAAGCCGATATTGCTGGTATACCAGTTTGTGAGTACTTATTTTCTTTGATTGCACAATCTTAATTTGTATGATGAATTTTGTTAAAAAAGTAAAGAAAATTAGGTGTATTATTAAGTTCAATTTTAGCAATTCTTTAAAAGAGTCTTATATTTGTGATTATTTTTTTAATTAATACGTCTTCATTAGAAAACGTTTTTCTTTTGAAATATACGATAAAATACATATTTTTAAGAACTGCATTTCCTTTTTTTTCATGCCAAGTTATATATTTTTAAATTACTTCACTTACAGTGACTGTATTCTACAAGTGTTATTTTTCTAGAATATTATAAAATAATAGTTATATTTATAATTTATTAACTCAATTGTCCATATTTAAATATATAAATGCTCCATCTATTAAAAAAGAAAAATTAATACTGATAAATTCATAGAAATATTTAAATTATTTGAAACCAAAAAAAGATATTTAACGGTTATTTAATAATTCTGGCAATAATCATATTTTATAATACATTTAGTCAGGTCTAGAGTACCTGATATTACAGCACTAGGTGCTGCAAAAGCTGCTGGAAACGCAGCTGGTATAGGACTCTGGGAATTAGAAGGTGCAGGTGTTGAAACAATTATTACCGACACATTTTTGCCCACAACAACACCAGAAGGTAAAAACTTATCAAGTTAAATTTTTCATTTGAACATATATATAATAATCATATAATTAAAGAATTCTTAATTCCACAGATTATTTAAATAAAAACTTACTTTGCGTATATATATATATTAAAGTAAAAATATTTATTAAAAATTTTTACTATAAATCTTAAAAAATTATCATGATTATTTTCAGATAATAATTATCAATTATTTTCAAAATACATTATCATGTGCATAAAAAATTCAAGAATTACATTTAACGCATTTTTATTTTAGAAAGAGATGCAAGGTACAAAAAGTGGAGAATGGCAGTACAAAAAAGTCTTGGCTGGGCATCGATAAAAATGTCACCTCAGATGACAGGTAATAATAAATATAGTGCTGGTTCGAAGACTGAACATGTGGACACAATAAAGGATTCGCTTTTAAACTCCACTGTCAATTCGCGCACCTCGTAGCTAGTCAAAGTATTTCTCTGTGTGTATTAAATTCCTCTTTCACCTCCTTCAGGATATAAAGTGATCATAATGATATTCTCTTTCGCATGTAAAAAACTGTAGATAGATAATTTTCTGGAAACATACCTGTGTGGATTTTACTCATTGCATTGTATTAATTTATATTTTATAGAAATATTTGTGTTAATTTATTGCTATATTTATGTGCATTTAGTAGAACTACTAAGTATTTATATTTATTATTAAGTATTGTACATATTTTCTTTAAATAATATGTTGCATATACAATTGTACATATACCATTTTATGTACCTTATCCTTTCCCTCTATTTATATTTTTTCTATATTTGTGTGTTTTGTTCGTATTAAAATTAATTTCTAATAAAATTAATATCTAATAAAATTTGAAATAGCATTTACAATTGTATACAATTAAACAATAAATTTACACTATTCTTATTCGTATTTAAATTAATTTCTGATAAAATTAATTCCTAATAAAATTGAAAAAAGCATTAGAATTGTATACAATTGAACAATAAATTTGTAAATGTAGTGCAAAATGATAGTAAATAGAAAAATAGAACATCAATTTTATCGAAAACTTTAACTGAATACAATAAGTAAGTATACAAATTAATAATTGCTATCAACTTAAAAAAATTCTAATAATTGAAATTCAATTTAATTCATATTAATATTAAATTCTAAAAGACGAAAGTGTCATATTAAAATTAACACGCAAGTTCACTACTGGTTTAACAAGCTTTTAATAGTTTTACTATATATAATTTAAAACTCATGATAAATTCACTTCATATTTTCATTTTATATTAAAAACAATTCAACTCATTTACTATCAATTTTCAGTGCACAGATATATATATATATATGTTTATTGCTAACTTTATTTTAACAATATCCTTTCCCAGGCTTTTGTAAATTTCAAAATAATTTTCCATATATTCATTGTAATTTTACAGATGATAGGTATCGTATTTTGGCATCAATACCAGTAAGCTGGTTCTTAATGTCAAGTTTTATTTTACTAAGGCTAAGCATCTACTTCGACAATCGGTGACGCCTTACTGAATGCAATACAAGAAAAGTCATTATAGCTGTCAGCTAATCTCTAAATCTTAGAATCCAGCTAGTCTATAGCCAAATACTTGTACACTTTGCTAGACTTCATGAAAACTTACCATCACATTTTCTCAAATTAATAGGTAGAAATTAAAAAAAAAAATATTATTTATAGTCTTCCTAATTTATGATTAAATGCATACAATATTGACAGGTGTACAACATGTGTGCACGTATGCACTTATATATTTATAAATGTATATACAATTCGATTAATTTTAAAGTAGTTATTAAATGAATAAAACTGATATTAAATTTTAAATTTAAATATATTACTTTTATATTTTATATCGCTTTTCTTAAAATATTTATTGTTTTTTAAAAGTATTTAATAAATGCTTTTTAGTTATGATAGTACAAAAATTATTTTAATAAACAAAAATTTTTTCTAAAATTATATTCAATTTAAGAAATACTTTTGCACCAATGCATTGCGTTTAAGGATAATGCTAGCACAAAAATATTGTGATTCTTTAATAAATTTAAACTAAAAATCTTTTAATTGATATCTTTACATAAAATAAATTTCAAATTCCTAATGATGTAACCGCCTTTTTGATTTTCTTGGTAATAGAACAAAATTTATTTTAAAATCTTGAAAAGTAATTTTATGACCTTTGACATGCAAGCAGATTATATAAAGTGCATTCTTTAATTACTGAAATTTTCTTACTGTTTTAAAATATATTATTTTATGTAAAGATTGTAGATGTGGTAAAAATATTATATAATAATACGCATAATATTACTATCAATCAGAAAGATGTAATTTTGGAGTTTTAGAATTCTAGATTTATTCAAAATTAATGTTGTATAATTTTATTGTAAGTTTTCATAATACAATACTTGAAAATAAGCAAATGAGTTGTAAAGACAATATGATCAAATGTATTACATATTAACTTATTAAACTTTAGTTCAAAATATTTAGAAAAATATTTATTAAATGTTGAATGAAATAGTAAGTAAAAACAATAAATTATAACACCGAAATTTCGTAGCAATAAAGTAAATTTTAATTATACCATTTAAAAACAATTCTTTGTAATGTAAAGAAATGTGCTTTTGAAGCTAATAATAATAGAAAATAATTTTTTGTAAATATAAATAGTTAAAATAGAATTAAAAATAGCTTTATGAAAATTTTATTGGAAAATTTTTTAATAATGCCTGGTGTAAAATGTATAATTAGTACATTAGGTACTTATATTATTGCTAAAGTAAGTTTTTAAAATTATTAAAATAAAGTTATAAAGTTGCTAAAATATATAAAAATATTACTGAAATAAATTATCGAATTAACTTTTATATATATAAGATTTCAGCTGTCTATAATTATTGCAAATTTTCTGTAGAAAATGAAAAAAAAAAATATTTTGGTGGTAAAATAATTAATGATAACTTTATAAAGATTAAAAGCACATTTTTGACTCTCACTTATAAATGTATGCTATTATTTTATTTTTTGACATAATATAAGAATGTAAATTGCCATTGAAAATAAAACTGTTATACATTATGAAATTAAAACTATTTATTTCCAATTTATACAACAATTTTATAATTATATTGTATAATATTATATTGTATATTGTATTACATTTATACATTTTCATGTTTCTATGTAATATTAAAGTTTTAATTTAAAATCAATTGAAGCAAAGTTCAATAAAAATAAGTACTTTAAAAATAAAATTTTGAATCGTGTCATAAAAATTATTTTATCTTTAAATTAAGAAGTTTCTTAATTTTTAAACGATTTTATGGAAATGAATGAAAATTTTATCTTTGAGATGGAATTAAATTTTCGTAAACTTTTAATGAACAATAAAGTTTAATTAGTAAGTTTAATTATTAACTAATAGATTATTAAATTAATATTATAGACAAGTTTCGCAATACAAATATTATTTAATATGTTTATTATATAAAATAATCGAATTTGATAATATCAAACAATCATTTTAAAAGAATGAAACTATTATTTATCAATACCTCATTGAATAATCTAGCACTTGTCTTGATATAATACAGAAAAAATATTCATTGAAAATTTGAAACGAGGTACTTTGTGAATTAGACGTTTTATGCTGAGTTTTTACATTTGAAATGAGCGCGCACGAATGACGACCACCCCTGGATCAAAAAAGGCCTTTCAAGGGAAATAGGGCTGGTATAGCCGATAAGGTCACGAAAACATGTGCGACAAGCATACAATACGCAATAAGCATACAATACAATACACAACATTAAAAAAACGTTCAGCATTCGAAACCGAAGATCCAGGAACCTTATTACCCGCGCACTTATCTCGACACGCTCAAATGCATAATCGCGCCTGCGTACGTGCATGTCCAAGTCGCTGTCTCAATATGTCAACACCAGGCGTCGCTTTGCTGATATTAGCATAAACTATAGACGGCGAATCGCGAAAAGCAATACGCAAGACCGACGTACTATACTGCTGGACAGGCAACATCCTGGATGAGTGCGGTGTAAAATCCAGTGTACAGTGCCGCCAGTCCGGATGAGAGATCCTCGCGTTTAACGGCTCTTCGAGACATTGCGGACTACATCCAGTAGCCGTCCAAATGCGGGATCGCAGCATTTAATCGCTTAAAGTTGCTCTTTGCGTTAAAACTCGACCGCGTATTAACTCTCGTGCGTCAATAACAACGGCGACGGTGACGGCGACGACGGTATTGACAACGAGGACGGCGACGACGGCGACGACGACGGCGACGACGGCGGCGACGACGACGACAACGACGACGACGACGACGACGACGACGACGACGACGACTACGACGAGGACGACGACGACGGCGGCGACAGCGGCGGCGGCGGCGGCGGCGGCGACGACGACGACCACGACGACGACAACGATAACGACAACAACAACGATTGACGACGGCGGCAGCGGCGTCGACGGCGGCGGCGGCGGTGGTGACAACCACGACCAAGACGACGACGCCGACGACGACGACGGGAAGGAAGAGGAGGAAGACAAGAACCGAATCTCGATTGCAAAAAAATAACGACGAGCCAGAGATTGAGGGTCATCAAGAATGCGGAGAGTCGAGGCGACGGGGCGACCGCGCGTCGCAACTTGCACCGGCTGACCGTCGAGGGTCTGTTGCACCCACATAACACGGTGGCAAAGCAGTAACGGCGACGGCGTGCGTCCATTGATAGGGGAAGTAAGTGTCCGCGTGTGTGCCCACTAACGACAGCAGCAATTGCAATAGTGACAGTAACAGCGACTCTTTATCGTTGATGCGTGAGTGATACCGTGAATACATATGTGTATGTGTATGCGCGGGGGCTGTGATACGTAGAATACGTTTTGTTTTGTTTTCTCCTAGTTTCTTTATATTGTATTCTCTCGAGCGCACACGTTCGCTAGAGATACTGAGAACTGTGGATTTCAGGGAAAGTTCTAAGGGAATAACATCACCGTTTCCTTTGCTTTTTGAAGCTGAAGAAAAAGAAGCAAACATTTCATCTACTGCTGTCCCCATGTCTTTTTCTTATTTCGTCTTCCTCTTCTCGACGAGGAAAAAGCCTCGCCATCTCCCGACGGTCTAATGTTTAGTGATACGCCTAAGGAGATACGAAACACGCAAGTTCATCTAGCAATCAGCGCTTATATGAACAAAAATTGAAAGGGCAAGGAGATTAAGGATTGAGATATATATATATATATATATATATATAGAGAGAGAGAGAGAGAGAGAGAGAGAAAGAAAGAGAGAGAGAGAGAGAGAGAGAGAGAGAGAGAAAGAGGAAGAGTGAAAGAGAGGATAAAGTGAGAAAAAGAGCGAGAGCGAGGGCCAAAAGAAGGAACAAGAAAGGGAGAGAGAGAGTTGTTGCTCACGAAGACGCTAACGACAAGAAGTTAAACATTTTAGGGTAATATTTATCATGCTCAAATTTCAACAATAAACGATTGTTTACACTTATCAAGATATGATAACCTTAACCTATCTACGTGCTCTTTAAATGCAAACATGGAAATTAATAATTATTTATTTAAAATTAATTATTATGCTCCATTATATATTTTTTTTTAATTGTCATTAACGATATTAGTTTTGAATAAAATACAAAATATTCAATGTTACAAAAATAACTTTAACTTTATTCTCAAAATGTTTTTAAAATTAAATGTAATATTTCAAACTACTTGTTACTACTGTTAGTTCGATATGCAATTTAAAAGGTATTAATAAACGATACAGTAAAACTACCTGTTTTTTTTTTTAACTATAGTAACATGTGTATTCATATTACAATATTTATATTTAAATTTATTCATTGAAATATGATAGAAACAACATGCATAAGCAGTCAATTTAAAACAGAAATATTCTATTTTTTCACAAAAGCTTCATTATGATATTTGAATATCTAGATCTATTTTACATTCGATCTTCATTTATTTCATTGTCTTCAATCAATATTGCTGTTTATTAAGTAGTAAAATTATGACTTATAAGTTTGAAATTATAATTTACTGGCTTAATCCCTATAAATGATTAAATTTGAATACTACAAGTATAATAAATATTTTATATAAGAGAAAATTAGTATAAAAAAGTAAATTACATGCATTACAATGAATGTATTTTTTTAGCATCAAGATGTCCTCGGGTCACAGTAGCAGAAGTCGAGCAGTACACATAAGCTCCATTTTTCAAAAACTGCAGGGTCGCTTTGCTGATGCCATGACACCACCAAAACTTTCCACAGACAAGCGAATGCTTGACAAAACTTGGAAATTGATGGATAAAGTTGTAAAATTATGTCAGCATCAGCGAATGAATCTCAAAAATTCGCCACCTTTCATACTCGATATATTACCAGACACATATCAGAGGCTCAGACTCATTTATAGCAAATACGAAGATCGTATGCATGTGCTCCATAATAATGAACATTTTTGTGTTTTTATAAACAATTTAATGAGAAAGTGTAAGCAGGCAATTAAGTTATTCAAAGAAGGCAAGGAGAAAATGTTTGACGAATCATCTCATTATAGAAGAAATTTGACAAAACTTAGTTTGGTTTTTAGTCATATGCTGTCAGAGTTAAAGGCCATCTTTCCCAATGGAGTATTTGCTGGTGATCAATTTCGCATTACTAAATCAGATGCTGCTGAATAGCGGTTTGGCAACAGGTAGGAAAATATTTTTCATATAAATAAAAAATTTAGACATAAAGTGATGATGTGTAAATAGAAGAAAAACTATATAAAATCTTTAAAACCAATATTAATATTTTCTCAAAATGCAGTATTATACATAAGAACTTCAGATGTAAACAGAATTTCATTTTTTATTTTATTATTTATAAATAAACGAAAGTAAATATGCCATATCATACATTATTAAATGATTCTTGTTGTTAAGATATGTAATAATTAATAATCAACATTTATAAAAATTCAGTTGATCACATGAATGACAACTTTGAGTATTTTCAAATTTCATACAATTACAAAAAACAATCCTAAAAATTCGAAAAAATCCGTTTTTTCGTGTAATTTTAGATAAATTTTATCTACGGTCGCATACGTTTTTTTATGTTAAAGTAATATAATTTCATAAATTAATATCAAATAAATTTCTTATAAATAAAATAATTTACTGCATAACTTGTATGTCACATAATAAATGCCCATATTGAAATGCTATTAGTATTAAAAACTGAATAATTCTAACAATAAAAACTCATATACAGTAAAAACAAAATAGTATGAAATCTTTTAAAAATATAAAACTAATATAAATTATAAATTATTAATTTTTTTTTCAATTTCTACATCGTATGTACCCTACAATCTAATGTAAAGTCCCCCTAATCAGCTGGCATACATACAGGTAGCCATGCACCATCGAATTATCGCATACACACACTCACCTGTCAAAATCATTTGAAAAACAAACAATACACGCCGGTAAGCGCTTTGTCGTAGCTAAATACGGAATCAAGTGAAATCCCCGTTATTAATTTTACTCCTTTTTTTTTTTATTTAATTTTACTCTTTTTTTTTTAAGGGAATTTCTAATAAAGGGCAAGAAAAAATTTCTTCCAAATTTTTAACAGATAAATTATATAATTGAAATGATAATTTATATTGTATTAAAGGTATTCAAGCAAATACGACAATTTAAGGATACGTGTTCGTATTGGTCTTTTTATCTTTTTTATTTTTTTTATTTTTTAAATCCGAATATGCCGGAAATGTATCGGCCGCGATGCATTCATGAAAACGAAACGACCCACTTTAATCAGCTGTGTCGCACGCGAAGCACACGAGAATCCGCTAATGATGTAATTTGTGCCCGACTCAGGCTGTAGCAACGCGCGCATCAAGGCTATATCCGGCAATTGACAATATTATCTACATTACTTGGAATTCTCCCCGTAGGTTCGACAGCTGACGTATAGAGCTACGCAAAGACGCTTCCTTCTTTAAAGCTTTGATAATGTTATGTTTGAGATAATAAAATTCCTTTAATACTGAATCAGAAATTTATTCAAGCTGTTCAAATAATAATTTTTCGTAGGGTATTTCATTGCAGAAATAACATGAGAAATATGTGTAACTTAATATTGAACGATATTTTTAAAATTTGAGAGATCAAGAGAACATTTTGATAGCTTAAAATCGATACTTCTTGTAGATCACTATTGTCACAGAAAATGCACGAAGTATATTATTTACATTTTTCTTTTTATTAAAGTAGCTCTAATTGATTTATGAATTATGGTTTTAATACATATTATATAATTAAAAATAATTTTCTAACTTTTTTTAGTTATTATTAAAACTTCAAACGTTTCAACACTTAGACAGTTTTATAAATATTTGTGTATCGAAACTAATAACTCAGCTGTTTAAGTTTCAGTAATTTAAAGAAGTCAATACACAAATTTCATGAAAATCATCACTAGTATTATAAATTATCAAAATGGAATAAATATTTTATACAACATATCTTCAAATTTTATATAATTTTAAAATAAAGTCAATTTTATCAATATTATTATCAATACTATTATTTTAAAAATACTTTTCTAAAAATATTTAAAGCATATTTATTACTATAAATATAATAGAATTTTTATTTTTTACTTTCGTCGTTAAAAATTTATTATTTTCATTCAATCAATTTTCGTTTTGTATATAAAAATATTGATAGCATTTTATAAATTTTTAAATATAATAGTAGTATATGTGCAAAAATTATTTATACAAATATTAATGTTAATTATATAATTTATAATACGATAAATATATTAAAAGATGTATTTAATTTATTAAAAAATTTCAAGATCTACTCCACTTATTTATAAATTTGATTTTTATTTACGTAAATACTCGCATACTTTAAACTTAATGAATATTAATTGAATGATATTTACTTTGTATATAATTTTATGATATAACATATATAATGATTGACGCTTTTGAAACTTCTAATTATTGTACATTATTCACATAATTTTCTACAATACATCTAAACTAACGTTAAATTTTTAATAAAAAATTGCTATTATATTTTACAATCCTTAATAATTATGGATTAAAATTCTGAAATTCATTTTTATTTATAGATAATTAACATTTTTACATTATGATAATACATATAAATATAAAATCGGAAAGATAACTTTTTAACATAGGAATGGAAGAATTTCAAATACGAAAATAACTACAGTTTTGTATTTGCATACGCTATGTTGACTAAAATCTTGACTAAAAAATCATCCATCTTTCATGTTACTATAGATGTTCTTTTTTTCTGATGCAACCAACATACATCACAGTAAGGACTGAACGTTACATTTCTACCCCCTTTTTACTATGATTTTCTTTTATGTTTATCGGTAACGCATTTACTAATGTACATTCAAAAGATTTCACTTTATAAATGTATTGCGTTAGTTAAAACATGTTTTTCATTTTTATACCAAAGTTATTCTTTTGCAAATTTTATTATTAATTTTACTATGTACATTGTATTTATTCATAGCCAATAAAATTACAATATTTTTAGAATATATGGATGAGCTATAATATACAATCCTTTTTACAAGGATTAATTGTATAACAAAACTATGACAATAATATTTTTTAAATAAAAAATGAATACGATATTGTAAATGCCAAGATAGAAATACGATTTTTTAAAAAAAATATAAATAAAAATTTATAATTCAAAGCTTTTGAATTTAGTTATGACCTACTTTTCTCTTGAAAGTCAAAAAACTTTGATTGTAATATTATTTAAAAGTTTAAATAAATTAAATTATTCGAATAATTTTATTATACTCTTTATTAACTAATTCGATATAATTGATTTCCACAAAATAAAATATTATAATGTAAATATTTTTATCTTTGATTTATCATCCTTTAATTGACTACATGAAATTAAATTACTGTAAATCTCGGAGTGTAGATATATTATTCTTTTGAGTTTCTGTAATATATTTATTTATCTGTGGAATTTAACTTAGTTTATAACTAATAAAAAAAATTAATTAAGAGAATTAATAAACTCAGTAAAACAATTAGTATAGTAAAAAAATATAGTTAAACAAGTATAATTTTTCTTTCTTTAAATATACAAAAAATTTAAGCTTTCTTAGTAAAATTCAATGTTAATTATGAGGAGAAGAGAAATCTTTTTTAAATATTCGGGTAAATAAATACCCGAACAAAGTTTCTTAAATAAAGTCAATAGTGTCTTAAATATATATTCTTAGAATTTTTTTTAACATAACATAGAAATTGTTATAAAAACGCAAGCAATATTTATGAATAAAGAATAAATCGTTGCTTATACTGAATTATCTATATATGTATGATTATATCAAATTTTTCACAATTAAAAATGTATTATAAAAAATAAGATCATTATAAGTGTTCTTACACCTTATGTATAACCACATTCTGTTATGTATCTTGTACTATTACTACATTATATTAAGATAAGGTATATAATACTAAATATTTATAAAACTTACATGAACTACAATACTAATTCATATTTTTAACCAAAATATAACCAATAATTTTCTACATAATAATCAAAGCAAAATGTGAAACAATATCGAAAAACGTTATTATGTTGATGAATACAATATTCATAGATATTTTTACAAATCGTTTTCTAATAGTATTTTTAAAGTCTATGTATATATATATATATGTTAATTTACAAAATTTTAGTAAATGAAAAATAAATTTCTTTTCGTTGTAAATATTATTTTAAGTTTCCTCTATGATAATCTGCAGCAATAAAAATAAACGCTATAACATTAATTGGAAATTAGAATTATTATGGTATTTAATGGTTTTAATAGTCAGATGTAGATAGTTAAATATGACTTTTCACCCTCTCAAAAGTAGGTCAGCTTAATAATAATCAATGAAATGCATTATTACACTATTCATTTCGTGTACATCTACATTAAAATTCTGTTTTTTAAATTTAAATGTTTTTAATAGTATTATCATATGATTTTTTGTGTCAATTATATTATAAAAGAAGTTATATTGAGTTTTAATCATTAATATATTTTTAGGATTATTGTCTGTAGAATAATAGAAAGTATACATTACAAGTCCTACGTACTTCATCTTTTAATTAAATAATTATCAAATCTCTAAGAAATATGTGCCATTGTATTAACTCACTCATAATTACTTTTCGAAAAGGCAACAATCTTCTTAATTATAACTGGTTATTGATTTTTCATCTAGCTAATATGATGGAAAAATATACTTTTACAAATACTAAATTAAATACATGTAGAATTTTCTGTTTTGAATATAAAAATTATAAGAATACAGTTAATTAAAAGAATTTACATTAAATTGTACGAAGAATAAAGAGATTAAACCAATAATGATAAAGTTGCATTACATTTTTATACCGAATATATTTATGCCGAAAAAACAGCTCCTAATGTTGAATAATTTAAAAAATTGTGGAAACCGTATATACACATACGTGGTTCTTATATCACGTAAGTCTGTAATTTGATTATCGGTCTTAATACAATTCAGCAAACTAAAAGTTGAACGAACCCTTAAAAACTAAGTGGCTCGTTTGAGGTTTCTAACCACCTACACATTCTTTATCGTAAA